TTTTTATTAGTTTTAAAGATGTTTTTTGAAATTCTGTTTTTCAGTTAGTTTTCAGATCTACTTTACACTTTTAATTAGTTGAAGTTTTATCAAAACATTTCTATTTAGTTTTTATATTATTTAGTTTGTGTTAGTAACCTATGTGTGGGAGGCTAGGAGTCATTTATGTGTTGTATAGGGGCAGTAATGCATAAGGTGATGGGTCAGGTCATAGGTCAGGTTAGGTTTAAAGGTAGACTAAATGAGATTACATAGATGCACGAAGTAAACAGTAGTAGTGGGTCAATTTCCGCAAACAACCAATGGGCGCGTTCGAACTGATCACTTTTGTCAAGTCCGTGACCATCGTTGGTCACAATCTTTCAAAGTGTGTTGAATTCTGGGGATAAAAATTGCCAGACTGGCGCCTACATGTCAACTTCATGAATTTAACAAAAATGTGATCAAATGTCAGGAAGTTTTGACTGCAGTCGTCTGCAAGTTTCTGCAGTTGCTCTTCACCAACTTAATCCTGCAGCAATTGCCTGCATTGTGACAGGCTTTAGTTTCAACCATTCTTTTTTGTTTGTCCCATGCAAATGTGACCAAAGACATGACTGATACAGGAACCAATTTGCTGTGATTTATGTGTACAGAGGATATATACAAATAAATGTGATATTTGAGGCTTTCTCTCACTAATTGATTGTACAATGTGTAAACATATTGTATGGCGGCAGGTAGCTTAGTGGATAAGAGCGTTGTGCCAGTAAACCGAAAGGTCGCTGGTTCTAATCCCCGAGCCGACTAGGTGAAAAATCTGTCTGTGCCCTTAAGCAAGGCACTTAACCCTAATTGCTCCTGTAAGTCGCTCTGGATAAGAGCGTCTGCTAAATGACGAAAATGTAAATGTAAATGTATTATATTATGATTTCAGTTTGTGATTGTGTGATTTGAGGGTTAGATACATGTTTATTTCGACATTATAAAAAAAATATGTTTTATTAACAATGCAAACACTGCCATGTTCATCTGAGCCTTGCTGTTTGACTTTCAGCTGCCTCAACTTGCTTCTACAGTCGGTTGCTTTAGCCTTACCACTCAATCGCGCCCAATATCTGCAGTGCTGCTCATGGCAGCGCCATCACGCTGAGTCTACCTTAAAATTATAAAGTCAATCTCAATGTGACCCGCCAGATTCAGAAGCTTGAAAATCCCATCAGAGAAAAAAGCTGAACATAATTTAACATAATTCATAATGGTTTTTATTTTATTTTAGTTCGTTTTGGAGTCAAAGATAATAGTTTCAGTATAGTTGGAGTTTTTCAAACGGGTTTGTTAATTATTGTATTTTCATTTACTAAATTGTTTTCATTTACTATAATAACCTTGCGCTGTAATACCCAGGGCCCTACAGTATAATATAATACATTTAACTACAATTACACCAATTTACCCAGGGGGGATTCATATGAACTCAAAACCATTCTATCCCGTGTTGTGCAACAAGAATACATGTTTGGATTCTTTACATTGATAGAACCATGGTTACCATGTGAATATAGTGTTTAGTCAACTCCACTGTGTTAGTGTTTGGAGTGAGCGGTGCTTAGTCTGTGTGTACTGTAAAATATGGACTTGGATTTCATGGATAGATGCTCTGTTACAATACACTACACACACACATCCTTTCTGCCTGCTGTCTTTCTTTAGTATTTAAGCCCTTTTGTGTTGTAGGTGTACTGTATAGAAGGTTTAAACATAACCATGTTTTATTAGTATTTAAGCTCTTTGTGATGGGCTGTATAGCGGTGGAGCATTAACATGGTTTAATAGGCCTTCCTGGGGTGTCGGCATTCTTTAATCCCCAGACTCAGAGTGACAGGCGGGGTCCCCACAGAGTCAACTAATGAATTGCAACAGCAACACCAGCCACAGCTGCTGTAATGAAAAGGACCAGAGAGATTTACAGCCAATAGCTCTTATCCCCTCTAAGGAGGGAGGCGTCGCGATTCCACTCTGTCACTCTTCTCTTCAACTACTTTTGTTAGAATTTTCAACAAAGTAGAGTTGGCCGTGTTGCCTCTGTTCTGTATCTCAAAGGTTAAGAGTATTTAGTGTTTTAATAGATCGGTCTCCAGCAACAGTACATAAAATAAATGCTGTAGTCTTGACTCTTGTTCAATTGAAACGGTCTGTTTCTGTTGCTAGTGAGTGTTACAGATTATTATTGACGAGAAGAGTGCCCACGCTTTGCGGGGGGGGGGGGTTGAAGTTTGAGGCTAATAGAAAATTGTCAGAGTGAGAGGAGATAGAGATGCAGGAGTGATGGAAGAGCGATGGCGAGGAAACGGAGAAGCAGCAAAGCTGCATAGTTACAAATCAATACTATTGTGTAGAGTTAGGCTTTCATACCAAATTGGTTTGGAGCGTTTTTTCCGAAATCTGGGGCGTCCCCCCCCCCTCGGTGTGAAGACTATCTGCACTCGGGAGCGCACTAAACAACGCACCGTGGCTCACTCAAAAAGACTGGCCTCGGTCGGATTCCATTTGTACCATGGTGCGGTTCGCTGCAGGCGAGAACGCAGTCCGGACCAAACACGGGAAAATAACCAGAAGCGGGCATTATTATTGGTTGTTTGACTGAGAGTAATTGATGAAATGCACACAGTACCATCATTTCATATCTACGAAGCATTCAGTGAGGAGCAAGCAGCGCATCTATGATCACATCCGATGCAGATTAGGGGAGACTGGACCGGGGCTATACCGGCGATATAGCGTAGTCATGTCGCAGTTAGAGCGCAGTTCCTCCCGCATGTTGTTGGAAGACCAAAGCGAAAGTAATATGAAGTTTGTGACACACAAGATAGATGGATTTTAATGTGAGCATTTTTCTCCAATAAACAAATGACTTCCATGAACACAGTTTTGTGTAGGCATTTTAGTTTGTTTGACATTTGGCAATGTGAAACCAACCGGACCAAATGAAAAAAAATACAATGTAACAAATAATCGAACTCTGATTCAAGTAATTCTGAATGTACATGCATTTTTGTATTTGTTCCATCGCAAACTGTCCTAAATATAAAGCTCCTGGCTACTATCCAATCAAAGCCACATTTGACATTATCCCAACCGTGGTTAGCCACTATTGGCTTAAAAAGCCGAACGTAACACAATATCTGACAATTAAAGGGGAACTACACAAAAAAATTCAAAAGTGTTCGTTTTTTTTCCCCAGACCTAAAAAATTGTCTTCTGGTGTGATTTAAGCATTGACATGGACTAAGAACATACATTTTTGTTGTTTCTCTATGAATAATTGTAATATTGAGAGTAAAAAACAGAGAGAAAATAATCCCAAACCAGGAAAAATAAATGGTTGTTAACCATTATTTTACCAGGTATATTGACAGAAGAGAAGAATGTGCCTATTTGAACGTTTTAAAAAATGAGTAGCTCGTGACGTTTAATTTCTTAAAAGTAGCTCTCGTGCTAGAAAAGGCTGGAAACCCCTGGCTCAGAACTGTGTGAAAATGCACTTAGTTTGACTGTTATGTCCCTCTCACATCCCTAGTAAGAGATTGTATAAGGGCAGATCAAAGACCGGTAAGATCATAGGTTAACTATTTGGTTTCTGAATAGAAAAGTACCAGCAGAAGCCTCTGATGAATAGGCCCCTAGGCCTAGGTTGCTTAGCTCTCTGACATTTGTTGTAGATTGTTGGCTAGTCTAAGCATAACAATTTATCGTTCTTGCGAAGACCTGGCCATGCTTAGCTGTGGACAAACATCTGGTGGACTGGGATACACACACACACACACACACACACACACATACACACACACATCTGGTGGGCAGGGATTGTGTTCCTCCTCAAGTGGAATCTTACATCACAGTGGAACACAGCTCAGGTTACCATGGTGATGTAGCCAGCACTGCCAATCAAGGGTATACTGGGTAGGGTTAAAGTTAGCGTTGCACGTGTCTTTCTCCTCTCTCTCTGTTCCCCTCTCTTTCTGTCTCTGTCTTTTTCTATTTCTGTGTACCTCTCACGCTCTCTGTTTCTCTTTTACCCACTCCGTCTCTCCACACATTCTAGTCCACAGGGTATGTGCTTCTGATAAAGAAGTTGTATTTTTGTTGTTATAGGACTGTGTTCATAGGACAATAAATAGATTGAACATGAGGTTATTCTAGGTGCTTCTGTAAAGTTCTGATTTCCTACTCTTGTAAATTTCACTTTTTTTTTTCTGGAACTGCAATGGCTGAGGAGTCATATAACTCTCACACACACACACACACACACACACACACACACTGAAATGTGTACCCTTCAGAATCCAGGGTTTGAAGAGAGGGGAGATGAATTATTGTCAACACGAAGACATCAGCTCCATGTCTCTCTCTGTATCTCTCTTTCTCATGGTGGACGCTCTCTCTGGCCCATGTGAAGAGCCCTTGATGTTGTTTCCGTGGTTTCCATGCCCTGGGGGTAGTAATGGTGTGCAAGTCAGTCAGCCACACAAGCGCTCTCTGACTCGCTCTCTCTTTCTCTCTCCGCTCGGCTCACATTTTAGTGTCTCCTCGTGTTAAAACGGGGCTCATCAGAATGAATTGAGCCGGGAGAAACAGAGCTGTGGTAGTCCCTGTCACACAACACTGTAGCCTATGGGACAGACTGGCACTGTAGGACAGCCTGTTAGGGCACCAACTCATGTGTTTTATTATTATTTACATGTCACGAAAAGGTGTGTGTGATAGGCCTATGGCTTTGTAACAAGCTCTTGTGTGTGTGTGTAGAGAGAGAGAGAGAGATCAACCAATCAATTAATCAATCTCATTAATTACCTGACTGATGAACGGTTAATGAATGTTGGCTGTCATATTAACTACTATCTCACCCCCTCCCCTTACCCCTCACCTGTCCACCCCCCACCTCTCTCCTCTCTGTCTCTCTCCGCCTCTTTCTCCCCCTCTCTATCGCTTTTCCCCCCTCTTTCACCCCTCCCACACAGATGCACCCCGCTGCCCAGCTCGACAGGAGCGATGGGATGTGTCAACTAGGTACTAAACTTACCAACATTAAACACTAACCGGGGGAAGGAAGGGGTGAGGGGCTTAGAAAAGGGAAGGGGGGTCAGGGGTGGAGGGAGACGGGTGGGGGGGTGATGTCAACTGGGTACTTCACACATTAACCAACCCAAAACCTGAAGAAGGCGAGGAGGGGGGAGGAAGAAGAGGGGAGCAGTCAACACTGCTGGCAGACACAAGAGAGAAGGGGGGAGGTAGAAGAATGGAGGATGGGAGAAGAGGGTTTGTGCAGGTGGGGTAGAATAAGGGTGAGGAAAGGGTAAGGACAGAAGGAAGCTCAGGGCTGGTTTCCCGGCACTAGATTAAGCCTACTCCTGGACTAAAAAGCTTTCTCTGGAGAGTAGGCTTAGTCTGTCATTTTTAAAGCAGGGGGATGGGGTGAAGGTGTTGAGGAAAAGGTATTAGTCTGACAGAATGCCTTGTGCCTCATGGGGGTGAGACAGTGGGTGAGGGTGAGACAGTGAAAGATAACTTACAGATAGACATGCAGGGTGAGACCGGGACACAGATAGTCACAGGGCTAGACTCAACCCAAACATTTTGTTTTACGTAAAGTGGAGTTGACATGACTCCAGAAATAACACCACCCCCTGACCAACAAACTTACCTCCCTCCCTCCCCTCTATCCCTCTCTCCTTTTCTCTCCCCCTCCTCCCCCTCACACCTCCTCCTCCTCCTTCCCATCTCCGCCTTTTATCCCTTTCTCTCCCTCTTCCTTCTTTCTCTCCTCCTTTGTCTATCCCTCGCTCTCCTCCTCATTTTCCCTGTCTACTCTGCTCTCCTTTCGACCCTATCTACCCCTCCCCAATGCCCTGTCTTTATCCCTCTCACGCTCTCTCCTCCCTTGTCCCCTACCCCCTTCTCTGTTTGTAGTCGATCCCTGACAGAATGTACTGTGTGAGTGCATACATCTGGGAATGCATCCCAAATTGCACCCTATTCTCTTTTTAGTGCACTACTTTTGACCAGGGCCTATAGAGCTCTGGTCAAAAGTAGTGCACTATAGAGGGAATAGGGTGCCATTTTGGACTCATGCTGGGTCTTCCAAGCCCATCCCAGTATCAGGTCTCTCCACAGTCCTGGATCACCTCTGACCTTTGATGCTCATGATCCAGTCTGGGGTGAAGAGAAGGTGACTGTGCAGATACTGGTGCCTCATGTCAGGTCTGGGGCTCTGGAACCAGGACCCGACCGCTGTCTATCTATAAACTCAGTTTTAGGCCCAACCCTGCTCCCCAGCCAGCCACAGCTTCAGCCCCAGCCCCAGCTTCAGTGACCCCTGTGGAGCTTTTGACCCAGTGAGCAAAGGGCCCAGTTCCAAAAATACTCTACATAGTACAGTACCTACTGTAAAACTCTAGTCTAGAAGGCCTCATGGGCACACTCAGGAAAGTCATAGTAAATAACCTCTCTCTCTCTCTCTCTCTCTCTCTCTCTCTCTCTCTCTCTCTCTCTCTCTCTCTCTCTCCTCGCTCTCTCTCTCTCTCTCCTCTCTCTCTCTCTCTCTCTCTCTCCTATCTCTCTCTCTCCTCTCTCTCTCTCTCTCTCTCTCTCTCTCTCTCTCTCTCTCTCTCTCAGTAGATGACACATACCTGGACCATGTAAGGGAGCTGAAGGCGCAATCTGCAGTGTTTCTACCAGAGAGAGTGAGGGAAGAGGAGGAAGGGGAGGAGAGAGGAATGGGCGTGGGGAAGAATATCACCTCTAAGTCGATGGAGGGAGAAGGAGCGAAGTATGAGGAGGAGAACAAACACAGCGCAGACTTCTACCCCATTCCGGTACACTGTGTACTTGTGTGTGTATGTGATCGGTCTGCATGCATCTGTGTGTGTGTCTGCTTGCACAGGGGGATTTAGGCAGTTAAGGTTCATCAAGCTGACATACTAACAGAGGATTGATTGTAATGACAGGGTTAGGCCACCATACACACAGACCTGTCATTAGGATCACTTAACACTCTTCAGTGTCACACACAAATGCACACACACGTCATGACAGTTTTGTTCTGGCCATTCCCTCTTGGCTGCAGCACAGTCCCCTCATGTACGTCACACCACAAATCAACAATAACAAGGGTTTTCCCTAGCCACACACTTAAATGTAAATGTAATGGACAGATGCATGTGATACTGTGCTGAGAAGCTCCAACACAAAGCCTGTCCTGTTTTTGATTCCATCAGAGATTTACAACTGTAGTGCGTTAAAGTATTCACTTATTCACATTTTGTTTTGTTACAGCCTGAATTCAAAATGGATTAAATATATTTTTTTACCTCACCCATCTACCCCATAATTACTAAGTGAAAACATGTTTTTAGAAATGTTTGCTAATTTATTGAAAATGAAATACTGAAATATCTCATTTACATAAGTATTCACACCCCTGAGTCAATACATGTTAGAATCACCTTTGGCAGCAATTACAGCTGTGAGTATTTCTTGGTAAGTCTCTAAGAGCTTTGCACACCTGGATTGTACAATATTTGCACATTATTCTTTTTAAAATTCTTCAATCTCTGTCAAGTTGGTTGTTGATCATTGCTAGACTGCCATTTTCAAGGCTTGCCATAGATTTAAGTCAAAACTGTTACTAGGCCACTTAGGATCATTCCATGTCTTCTTGGGAAGCAACTCCAGTGTATATTTGGCCTTGTGTTTTAGGTTATTGTCCTGCTGAAAGGTGAATTTGTCTCCCAGTGTCTGTTGGAAAGCAGACTGAACCAGGTTTTCCTCTAGGATTTTGCCTGTGCTTTGCTCTATTCTGTTTATTTTGATCCTAAGAAAACTCCCTAGTCCTTGCCAATGACAAGCATACCCATAACATGATGCAGCCACCACCATGCTTGAAAATATGAAGAGTGGTACTCAGTGATGTTGTGTTGGATTTGCCCCAAACATAAGGCTTCATATTCAGGACATGAAGTTTATATCTTAGCACATTTTTTTGCAGTTTCACTTTAGTGCCTTATTGCAAACAGGATGCATGTTTTGGAATATGTTTTATTCTGTACAGGCTTCCTTCTTTTCACTCTTGTCATTTAGGTTAGTATTGTGGAGTAACTATAATGTTGTTGATCCATCCTCAGTTTTCTCCTATCACAGCCATTCAATTCTGTAACTGTTTTAAAGTCACCATTGGCCTCATGGTGAAATCCCTGAGCGGTTTCCTTCCTCTCCGGCAACTGACTTAGGAAGGACTCCAGTATCTTTATAATGACTGGGTGTATTGATACATCAGCCAAAGTGTAACTAATAACTTCACCATCCTCAAAGGGATATTCAAAGTCTGCTTTTTTTTTTACCCATCTATCAATAGGTGCTCTTCTTTGCGAGGCATTGGTCTTTGTGGTTGAATCTGTGTTTGAAATTCACTGCTCGACTGAGGGACCTTAAAGATAATTGTATGTGTGGGGTACAGAGATGAGGTAGTCATTCAAAAATCATGTTAAACGCTATTATTGCTATTGAGTTCATCCAACTTATTATGTGACTTGTTAAGCACATTTTTACTCCTGAACTTATTGTGGCTTGCCATAACAAAGGGGTTGAATACTTATTGACTCAAGACATTTCAGCTTTTCATTTGTAATTAATTTGTTCAAATGTCTAAAAACATAATTCCACTTTGACGTTATGGGGTATTGTGTGTAGGTCAGTGAAACAAAATCTCAATTTAATCCATTGTAAATTCAGGCTGTAACACAACAAAATGTGGGAAAAGTCAAAGGACGTAAATACTGTCTGAAGGCACTGTATATCCTGTTTATTATAAGTATCAAATTCACATGCTCCTGTCTGCTGTTACTGAATGGCTGAATGGGACAGAGGTGGATAAAGGGACACAATGGCTATTCTCAATGATCTGCACAGCAAAAGTCCCACATCCCTCGCTCTTCGTATCTTTCTTGTCTTGCATGAGGCGGGCGGGAGGGAGGGAGGGGGAGTGCGGGGCGGGCGCGGGAGGGGAGTGGCGGGCGGGGGGAAGTTCGGGGGGCGGGAGGGAGGGAGGGAGGGAGGGGGGGGGGGCGGAGGGAGGTAGAGGGGAGAGGGGAGGGAGGGAGGGCGGGGAGGGAGGGAGGGAGGGAGGAGGAGTGGAGGGGGGAGGGCGGGAGGGAGGAGGGAGGGGGGGGGGAGGGAGGGAGGGAGGGATGGGTGGAGGGGGATGGAGGGCGGAGGGCGTGGGTGTGTTCGGTCGGGAGGTGCTTTGTATGGGAGGGCGTGGGGGGCTTGAGGTGTCGTCTTGAGGTTGAGTGCGGATGGCGGTGTTTCGTGCTTGGTAGCTTTCTTGCTGGGTGGTCTTATGCGTTCTTTCGTTATTTCTTTTCTTCTTTCTTTCTTTCTTTTTCTTTCTTTTTCGGTTCTTTCTTTCTTTCTTCTTTCTTTCTCTTCTTCTTCTTTTTCTTTCTTTTCTTTCTTTCTTTCTTCTTTCTTTCTTTTCTTTCTTTCTTTCTTAATCCCCACCTCGCTCTCCCCACCATAGCGCTCTCCCTGCATGTCTTCCCCAAGGTTACTAGTTTTGTGATGTCCTGGGACATTAACTAATGTCCATTAATACAAATGACAGACATAGAGACAGACCAACCGAAAAACATATCAAGAACAGACTGTATAATGTATCATCTTTCATTTAGAATCCATTGTCTAGAACCTAATATTCAGTTCATTCTAAGGTCTCTCATCTGATGTCTGCTCTGTCAGAAATGATCTTTACAAGCTAGTGAAAAATGGGCAGTAGGATAAAATGTGATGTGTCCCCAGGAAAGGTTCTCTCCCTCTCCCTCTCTCACACACACACACACACATAAACACACACACACACACACACATAAACACACACAGTTTAATGCCGATGACATTTGAGTCTGAACAAAAGTATTTTGTTATTTTCCATGCCTGACAGGCGAGATGCAAAGACGGATGAAAGAATGCAAAGACGCATCCTCAAATCAAATGAATGTGTGTGTGTGTTCGTGACCTTTATCTATAATTTGCTAACCGAGTCACAGACAGAGAACACAACATCAAACAGGATACGACACACACACATACACCCTGGATCCCTAGAGCGTATGTGTGTCCGTCAGCGTGATAAATAGACCAATGCATGGACTAATGAAGGAACTAATTTACTTATGGCCCTGTATTCCCCTGGATCCTTTTTATAAAGCTGAGGTGCAAAGGCCCCCAAAGCAACACCCAGGCTGTCCTTCTGTGTTCGGTCTGGTAGTTTAGTTTACCTTACCCAAGCATTATCAATGTCCTTGCTTTGCTTTCCTTGAAATGTACTCTCTCTTGCAGATACACACACTTGTGCGTACACGAGTGTGTTAGTTGTGTTACTTTAGATAGTGTGTGTGAACTGTTTGCAAAATACTTAAGGGAACGTTTTTGCCCTGCCAAAACAGACTATCACTGCAAATGCACAGTGTATGAGCGTAACACTTCATTCAAAAGTTTAGAATGCAACAAACCCACCATAGCACTTTCTATTATATGAATTGTAAACATGCATTATACGTTCTGCATTATATGTTCTGTACCGCTCCTCCTTCATTGCCGTGTTGTAGACCTACAGTTAAAGCGTCTGAAATACATGTTGTTGTGAGTAAGACCGTAATAATGACATTGTCAGTTCTTGGTAATTACAATGTCTGTGTATGTACTGTCTTGTAGATGGATAAAGTATTGACATGTATCTGTCTGTACGGTAGGTGGTGGTGAATGGAGTGGGACAGGCCGCTGGAGAGCAGGACACTGAAGATACTGAGCTGATGGCCGTCTACACTAAAGAGAACCAGGGAGGAGAAAAGGTACTCTACCTTTCTAAATCCCTACCTCCCTAGTCTTTCTTCATTACTAAACTCTCTTGCTGAATCTTTGTCTTTCTCTCTTTCATTCTGAATCCTCCGCTCCCCACTCCTCCCCCTCTGTCTGGACATGTGGCTGTGACATCATCAGCCTGTGACTATGGGCTCTGGTCAAAAGTAGTGCACTAAATTGGGAATAGGGTGCCATTTGGGACACAGCCTATAATTCATCCTACTACCTGTGACTCATGTCAGTAACTAATGCTTTAATGACAGCCCCAAGAGTGGTTGGATTCAGGTTTTACCTCCCTCAGGCACACACACTCACATAGAGATTACTACCTGTAACACTAAACTACACTTAGACTAACACTTAGTCTTAACCCTTTACTCCAGAGACCATATACCCTGTGGTGTTTAAGGGTGTACATCTATAGTTCTCAACTTTTGTGTGTGTGTGTGTGTAGAGTTCCATGTCGGAGACGTTGGACAGTGCAGACATGAATGCCAGGCGAATGGACATGATCTACACCATTGAAGACACTCCTCCCTGGTACCTGTGTATATTCCTGGGCTTACAGGTGAGACGCATGCAAGCACACACATAACATACACACAAACACCCCCCCCTTGGTACCTCTGGGTTACCTTTAAAAGGATATTGTGAGATTCTGGCAAACAAGCCGATTTTTGAAAGGCAGATGAACTCGTGGATACCATTTGTATGTCTCTGTGTGCAGTATGAAGGAAGTTAGAAGTAGTTTTGCGAGCCAATGCTAACTAGTATTAGCGCAATGACTGGAAGTCTACATAGCGTACCTGTATACTTCCAGTCATTGTGCTAATGCTAATTAGCATTGGCTCTCGAAAGTATCTCTAACTACTGCATGCAGAGACATAAACATGGTATCCACAAGTTCATTTGACTCTGGGTAAGTAGAAAAGCGTCTTACAGATGTCTGCTCTTTAACTTGATCGGTCTTTCGTTGCGTATAATTTTTCAGAGGCATCAGGAAATTCAAATTAGTCTTGTGATTGGCAAAAAACGAGCAGTTCTCTTTCTCTCCATTCGGGGGCAGTCGAGTCATTGGGATCAGGGCTCGCTATCTTAAAATAATGTTCTCGCTCGCGCATGCTATAGGCCTAGGTTGTATTACTGCAACACTTAAATGTACAAAAATGTATCTGAGATGCAGCCATACACATCAACTACCGTCATTTTATATAGATGAATAACACAATATGGTTATTGGTCTCCACTAGGCTACGACATACAAGTGTCTAAATGAGGAAATACTTTATTTCTATTGTACAGAATGCTTGTAAAATAGATAAATCGCCCTTAGTCTGTTAAAAAAGGACCAAATTGTTTCGATGACAAAACCAACCTGAAGGCGAACATATCTTGAAAGACAAGCAGGACTAAGGCAGAGAGGAAGAGGCAAAGCGAGAAGGCTCACTCTCGCCAAAATAAGCCCAATGCGTTTCAATTGGCTTAATATGCAGACCTAAGCTTGTCACCTGCCTTACCGCCTTTGGGACGACTCCCATTGGGCGAAGACATGAGCATCTTGTCATTATATACAGATCTCTGACTAAGGTAACACAGATGTCATCTATTAGGGAGTGGTAGAGGTGACCAATAATGCTTGCAATTGAGATCAGCTGTGCGGGTGAATTTGGCGCATATTGATGGTTTAACGAGACCTCAGTTGGCGATAATCTTGTGCCATCGATGGTTGCAATAGGCCCCTTGTTATTTTATTATATTCCTATTGGCTACCCGACAGCCTATCGATAGTCACATAATGAAAGGTGTGAAAAACGATAATCTACTGTTTGTGTTTCCCTGGCTAAATTGATGAGCTGATTTGGGCCATCAGTTGATTGACAGATGTAGGCCTACTGTAGAACGATAAACTTTCCTCCAGTGTGGATGCTCGCCCACATTTTATAGTTGGGCTATGTATAATTTGCAGAGGTGGGTAGAGTACTGAAAATCTGTACTTAAGTAAAAGTACTGTTACTTACAGTAGATTGTAATTTACTGAAGTATAATTTGCCTTAAGAAACTACTCAAGTAAGAGTAAAAAAAGTATCCGGTCAGAAAACTACCTACAGTGAGGGGAAAAAAGTATTTGATCCCCTGCTGATTTTGTACGTTTGCCCACTGACAAAGACATGATCAGTCTATAATTTTAATGGTAGGTTTATTTGAACAGTGAGAGACAGAATAACAACATAAAAATCCAGAAAAACGCATGTCAAAAATGTTATAAAGTGATTTGCATTTTAATGAGGGAAATAAGTATTTGACCCCCTCTCAATCAGAAAGATTTCTGGCTCCCAGGTGTCTTTTATACAGGTAACGAGCTGAGATTAGGAGCACACTCTTAAAGGGAGTGCTCCTAATCTCAGTTTGGTACCTGTATAAAAGACACCTGTCCACAGAAGCAATCAATCAATCAGATTCCAAACTCTCCACCATAGCCAAGACCAAAGAGCTCTCCAAGGATGTCAGGGACAAGATTGTAGACCTACACAAGGCTAGAATGGGCTACAAGACCATCGCCAAGCAGCTTGGTGAGAAGGTGACAACAGTTGGTGCGATTATTCGCAAATGGAAGAAACACAAAATAACTATCAATCTCCCTCGGCCTGGGGCTCCATGCAAGATCTCACCTCGTGGAGTTGCAATGATCATGAGAACGGTGAGGAATCAGCCCAGAACTACACGGGAGGATCTTGTCAATGATCTCAAGGCAGCTGGGACCATAGTCACCAAGAAAACAACTGGTAACACACTACGCCGTGAAAGACTGAAATCCTGCAGTGCACACAAGGTCCCCCTGCTCAAAGCACATATACAGGGCCGTCTGAAGTTTTTCAATGAACATCTGAATGATTCAGAGGAGAGCTGGGTGAAAGTGTTGTGGTCAGATGAGACCAAAATAGAGCTCTTTGGCATCAACTCAACTCGCCGTGTTTGGAGGAGGAGGAATGCTGCCAATGACCCCAGGAACACCATCCCCACCATCAAACATGGAGGTGGAAGTGGTTCTTCTGCTAAGGGGACAGGACAACTTCACCGCATCAAAGGGACGATGGACGGGGCCATGTACCGTCAAATCTTGAGTGAGAACCTCCTTCCCTCAGCCAAGGCATTGAAAATTGTTCGTGGATGGGTATTCCAGCATGACAATGACCCAAAACACACGGCCAAGGCAACAAAGGAGTGGCTCAAGAAGAAGCACATTAAGGTCCTGGAGTGGCCTAGCCAGTCTCCAGACCTTAATCCCATAGAAAATCTGTGGAGGGAGCTGAAGGTTCGAGTTGCCAAACGTCAGCCTCGAAACCTTAATGACTTGGAGAAGATCTGCAAAGAGGAGTGGAACAAAATCCCTCCTGAGATGTGTGCAAACCTGGTGGCCAACTACAAGAAACGTCTGACCTCTGTGATTGCCAACAAGGGTTTTGCCACCAAGTACTAAGTCAAGTTTTCACTATCATTTCAAGTACGTGATGGTGAATGCATACTAAAAATATTTACACCAAGTGTGATGTTTAATTTTTCACTCAGAATGAACAAGTAAGTGTTACAACAGTCAAACAATAAATACTGAAATGTCACTATCAATCATGTTACTAGTATGCAAATCAGACACATTTCACCATGGAATTAAATTGACGTCAAAAGTAGAATTAGTTTAGCATTTTAGCTAACCCTAATTATTTTCCTAACCTTAACTTACTCCTCCTAACCTGCTACGAAAGTCCATTTTTGACAAGCTGTATCCCTTCTAGACAAAACCGGATTTACACTCCATCCTCCTTCTCTTCCGAACCTCTTCTTTCCACTTTCCATTCTCCTCTCCCCTCGGTTGTGCCACTACAAGCTGTAAATAAAAAGACACACACACAAAAAAAACTTGATTTCTAGTAAATGGCACAAAAAGCTTACTGAGATGATACACTGACTGTATGACAGAGGTGCTTATAGGGCCTGTCATTAAAACAGAATTACATTTAGAAACACACCCACATACAGAGAGAGAGAGGGAGAGATCAATGCGTGGGAGGATGCTGCAGTGGACGGACCCGTTGATCTAGCTAACGTTAGCTAGTTACATGGTTGACACTACAGCTAGCTAGCTAGCTTAGACCGCTTATCTAGTGGCAACCTAATGTGATAGCTAGTTAGCTATTACCACACACATCTGATTACTCTATTCACTCTTTATGCCAATGACAAGGTGGCTAGTTGGGCAACAAACAGAGATTATATGAGGAGATAAAAACAGGAGATAAAACTGTTAGCTAGCCATTTGATTTGCACTAGTCGTCAACTCAATTTCAACAGCAGAATTATATCTTAGAAATACTTATCTTACTCCAGGAATATATAATATTACAAAGGCAGAATGTAATTAAAGTGCAATTGACATCTGATCGCATCTGGATAAGAACCCAAGAACAGAAATATGAAGATGTGGGCTTCACTTTAAGAGCTGTGGTAGAGATAAAACTGGGTTTGAGTCAATGGACTTAAGAGTTTTGATGACAAGCTATTTTGAATACATGTCCTTGGTCAAAAAATACATCTACCCCCTAAAAATATTGTCTGTTTATTATAATCCTCATAATAATTCACGTGATGCGCTGTAGCCTACATAGGCTACTTGAACTGACACCCAGTGAACCTGTAGTCTAAGTTATTGTATCAGACAGTCCCCCTGGCAGCAATTCTAAATATTAAATAGACATTTAAATCCTCCTGCTGCAGGATTATTTTCCTCCTGTGACGAAATGGGTCATATTAAGATCCGACATCTGTAATTGCCAGAATCTTGCAGTATCCCTTTAATTACCAGATACACCTGTGTTATTATGTGGTTGATTGTCTGATATATGTGTAATATGCAAATAATGCCATGTTGACTCTATCTAATATGCAAATAATGACAAAACTGACTTGTGTCCTCCAGAGATTTTCTATTACATACAGTGGGGGAAAAAAGTATTTAGTCAGCCACCAATTGTGCAAGTTCTCCCACTTAAAAAGATGAGAGAGGCCTGTAATTTTCATCATAGGTACACGTCAACTATGACAGACAAAATGAGAATTTTTTTTCCAGAAAATCACATTGTAGGATTTTTAATGAATTTATTTGCAAATTATGGTGGAAAATAAGTATTTGGTCAATAACAAAAGTTTCTCAATACTTTGTTATATACCCTTTTGTTGGCAATGACAAAGGTCAAACGTTTTCTGTAAGTCTTCACAAGGTTTTCACACACTGTTGCTGGTATTTTGGCCCATTCCTCATGCAGATCTCCTCTAGAGCAGTGATGTTTTGGGGCTGTCGCTGGGCAACACGGACTTTGAACTCCCTCCAAAGATTTTCTATGGGGTTGAGATCTGGAGACTGGCTAGGCCACTCCAGGACCTTGAAATGCTTCTTACGAAGCCACTCCTTCGTTGCCCGGGCGGTGTGTTTGGGATCATTGTCATGCTGAAAGACCCAGCCACGTTTCATCTTCAATGCCCTTGCTGATGGAAGGAGGTTTTCACTCAAAATCTCACGATACATGGCCCCATTCATTCTTTCCTTTACACGGATCAGTCGTCCTGGTCCCTTTGCAGAAAAACAGCCCCAAAGCATGATGTTTCCACCCCCATGCTTCACAGTAGGTATGGTGTTCTTTGGATGCAACTCAGCATTCTTTGTCCTCCAAACACGACGAGTTGAGTTTTTACCAAAAAGTTCTATTTTGGTTTCATCTGACCATATGACATTCTCCCAATCCTCTTCTGGATCATCCAAATGCACTCTAGCAAACTTCAGACGGGCCTGGACATGTACTGGCTTAAGCAGGGGGACACGTCTGGCACTGCAGGATTTGAGTCCCTGGCGGCGTAGTATGTTACTGATGGTAGGCTTTGTTACTTTGGTCCCAGCTCTCTGCAGGTCATTCACTAGGTCCCCCCGTGTGGTTCTGGGATTTTTGCTCACCGTTCTTGTGATCATTTTGACCCCACGGGGTGAGATCTTGCGTGGAGCCCCAGATCGAGGGAGATTATCAGTGGTCTTGTATGTCTTCCATTTCCTAATAATTGCTCCCACAGTTGATTTCTTCAAACCAAGCTGCTTACATATTGCAGATTCAGTCTACAATTTTGTTTCTGGTGTCCTTTGACAGCTCTTTGGTCTTGGCCATAGTGGAGTTTGGAGTGTGACTGTTTGAGGTTGTGGACAGGTGTCTTTTATACTGATAACAAGTTCAAACAGGTGCCATTAATACAGGTAACGAGTGGAGGACAGAGGAGCCTCTTAAAGAAGAAGTTACAGGTCTGTGAGAGCCAGAAATCTTGCTTGTTTGTAGGTGACCAAACACTTATTTTCCACCATAATTTGCCTCTCTCATCTTTTTAAGTGGGAGAACTTGCACAATTGGTGGCTGACTAAATACTTTTTTTCCCCACTGTAGGCTGCAACTGAATAACATGGCTTCCTCTCCTTGTCTCCTCTCCTTTATCTGCACTGATGTGAAAGACTTGGAGAGGTGGAGGCTAATGCCTGATAGGGTTCCTCCCTATTGCTTTCACCTGTCCTTTGTTATCAGTGCAGATGAACAAGAGGAGACGAGGAGTGGAAGCCACTTCCGACTGTTCAGATGCAGCCATGCCCAGGTCAGAAAATGCCATCTCACCACTTATTCAAGACTCCTCCTATTTCCCCTTCTATAACCCATATGATGTAACAGTCTCCCCACTCATTTTAAATTAAAATTTTAGTCATTTAGCAGACGTTCTTATCCAGAGATCGACTTACAGTTAGTGAGTACATAATTTTTTTTCCCATACTGGTCCCCCGTGGGAAACGAACCCACAACCCTGCCGTTACACCATTCTCTACCAACTGAGCTACACGGGACTGATGTAACTAAGCCCCTCCTCTTCACACTGATGCTTATTAAACATACTCTTATGAAAGTTGATGCTCTGCTTCACTGTCGCACGCACACACACTTTCACATTGTAACCCTCTCTCCTCTCACTCTCTAGCACTACCTGACATGTTTCAGTGGTACCATTGCGGTGCCGTTCCTGCTAGCTGAAGCCATGTGTGTAGGGTTTGACCAGTGGGCTACCAGTCAGCTCATAGGAACTATCTTCTTCTGCGTGGGAATCACCACCCTGCTACAGACTACACTGGGCTGCAGGTACACACATGGTCTCACACACACACACACACACACACACACACACACATATACACACACACACACACACACACACACACACAGAGTGATGGGTTTAGGGCTGATGCAGACACCTGGGGAAACTGTAGGCCAGTGTTGTGGCTACAGGCTACTGTACATTTACATTTGACATTTACGTCATTTAGCAGACGCTCTTATCCAGAGCGACTTACAAATTGGTGCATTCAACTTATGATAGCCAGTGGGACTACCACCCAATTATTATTCTTTTTTTAATGGGGGGGTGGGGGAGGGGGGGGGGGGGGGTAGAAGGATTACTTTTATACTATTCCAGGTATTCCTTAAAGAGGTAGGGTTTCAAGTGTCTCCGGAAGGTGGTCAGTGACTCCGCTGTCCTGGCGTCGTGGGGGAGCTTGTTCCACCATTGGGGTGCCAGAGCAGCGAATAGTTTTGACTGGGCTGAGCGGGAACTGTGCTTCCGTAGAGGTAGGGGGGCTAGCAGGCCAGAGGTGGATGAACGTAGTGCCCTCGTTTGGGTGTAGGGTCTGATCAGAGCCTGAAGGTAAGGAGGTGCCGTTCCCCTCACAGCTCCGTAGGCAAGCACCATGGTTTTGTAGTAGATGCAAGCTTCGACTGGAAGCCAGTGGAGTGTGCGGAGGAGCGGGGTGACATGAGAGAACTCTATCCTATTGATTTTCTCTCCTGCACTTTCCACTTTCCACTTTTTTTTTTACATCCCTCTCTTTCTCTAGTGTTCTCTACCTCTCCTTCTCTCTCTCCTTTTACTCTCTGCCTCTCACCCCCTACTCTCTCCTCTGTCCTCTCTCTCCCTCCTCTCTCTCTCTAAGTACCATTTACGCATAATAGACAGTGTTGAAGAGACTGTGAAAAGTCACTCCTCCCTCCGTTCTGTTCCACCTTCATTCCTCTTTATCCCTCTATCATTCTCTAGTGTGTGTCAAATCAAATCTTATTGGTCACATACACATATTTATATCTCCTCTCTCTCCCTCTCTAGAAATATGATATCCTTTAGAAATACCACAGCCAGGTTTCATCATTGTTGCCATGGTTATTATCACTACAACACGTGAATGTGTTGCTAGATGCCATGTCACGTTATGGTAATCTGTCTGTTGTTTGTAATTGTGTTTGCATGTCTGTCTCATGGCCAAGATACAGCAGCATTGACGGGAAATCACTGCACATACACACTGGACACACACACACACACAGAAGGTACTCTCCTAGTCTCATGGCCTTGAGTGATTCCTGTCTGAAACAAGAGAATGAAGCAGTGTCTAACAGTCAGGCTACAGCCCTGAAAAGAACTGCACATACACACACACTCACACACACACAGACCAGTGGTATGGCAGACACACACTCCTCTCAGCTCAAGGAGAAACCAGGCGTTCAGCCACATAGGACCACTGTGAAAAAAATGGGTTGATGTAATCTAAGCTGTGTCCAATTGAACCCTTCAACCAAAGAACCGTAAATGTGGGCCAAAGAGCTCTATTTACATGTCATCTGACGATAGCACCATCTGGAGTTTGATAAATTCCATTGGCACTTGGATTGGAATCAGTGCTACGGTCAGATAACATGAAAATATAGCTATTTGGCCATGCACACCAGTGGTGAGTTTGGTGTTGAAAAACAGAAGCATATGCAGAAAAGTACTTCATACCTACGGTAAAATATAATTTCCAAAAAATTTGAGCATGCAATAAAGCACAGTATTTGTATTTATACAGTCTTTTTTGCTCATCTTTATCAAGGATGCCAATAATTATGGACCTGACTGTATATTATTTTTCGGTTGAAGGGTTCAATTCTCCTGTCTTTAGTCCTGCAATTACGACTGATCACACAGAGAAGCATACACAGAGGATTAGCCTATACATAGCACTTGTACAAATGTTAACATCATGCACCATAGAGGGCTGCGGGTCCCAATAGAGAGAGGGGTGTGATCTGCATTTTTCATGCTGTAGTTGGGAGCAGGCGGTCAGACAGACAACTTGGGGATGAAAATATTTTTGTTTTCCCGCAGATTATTTGGAAACAGTTGTCTTTCTGCTTCATATGCGTTAGCCTACCTATTGTAATAAAAGCACATATTTGTTGCATTATTCACACAATCAGAATTCGCTGCTTCAAGTTAAGTAGCCTGTGGGCCAAAGAACTCTATTTTCATGTCATCTGAGCAAGTGTCTTCACTGACATTTTCAACATGTCCCTGACTGAGTCTGTAATACCAACATGTTTCAAGCAGACCACCATAGTCCCCGTGCCCAAGGACACTAAGATAACCTACCTAAATGACTACCGACCCGTAGCACTGACGTCTGTAGCCATGAAGTGCTTTGAAAGGCTGGTCATTGCTCATATCAACACCATTATCCCAGAAACCCTAGACCCACTCCAATTTGCATACCGCCCCAACAGATCCACAGATGATGCCATCTCTATTGCACTCCACACTGCCCTTTCCCAGCTGGACAAGAGGAACACCTACGTGAGAATGCTATTCATTGACTACAGCTCAGCGTTCAACACCATAGTGCTCTCAAAGCTCATCACTAAGCTAAGGATCCTGGGACTAAACACCTCCCTCTGCAACTGGATCCTGGACTTTCTGACGGGCCGCCCCCCAGGTGGTAAGGGTAGGTAACAACACATCTGCCACGCTGATCCTCAACACGGGGGCCCCTCGGGTGCGTGCTCAGTCCCCTCCTGTACTCCCTGTTCACCCATGACTGCATGGCCAGGTACAACTCCAACACCATCAAGTTTGCCGACGGCACAACAGTGGTAGGCCTGATCACCGACAACGATGAGACAGCCTACAGGGAGGAGGTCAGAGACCTGGCCATGTGGTGCCAGGATAACAACCTCTCCCTCAACGTGACCAAGACAAAGGAGATGATTGTGGACTACAGGGGGAAAAAAAGAGGACTGAGCACGCCCCCATTCTCATTGTCGGGGCTGTAGTGGAACAGGTTGAGAGCTTCAAGTTCCTTGGTGTCCACATCACCAACAATCTATCATGGTCCAAACACACCAAGACAGTCGTGAAGAGGGCACAACAAAGCCTATTCCCCCTCAGGAGACTGAAAAGATTTGGCATGGGTCCTCAGATCCTCAAAAAGTTCTACAGCTGCACCATCGAGAGCAACCTGACTGGTTGCATCACCGCCTGGTATGGCAACTGCTCGGCCTCCGACCGCAAGGCACTACAGAGGGTAGTGCGTACGGCCCAGTACATCACTGGGGCCAAGCTTCCTGCCATCCAGGACCTCTATACCAGGCGGTGTCAGAGGAAGGCCCTCAAAATTGTCAAAGACTCCAGCCACCCTAGTCATAGACTGTTCTCTCTGCTACCGCACGGCAAGCGGTACCGGAGCGCCAAGTCTAGGTCCAAAAGGCTTCTCAACAGCTTCTACCCCCAAGCCATATGACTCCTGAACCGCTAATCATGGCTACCCGGACTATTTGCACCCTCACCCCATATTTTTACGCTGCTGCTACTCTGTTAATTATTTATGCATAGTCACTTTAGCTCTACCCACATGTACATATTACCTCAACTAGCCGGTGCCCCCGCCCATTGACTCGGCACCGGTACCCCCCTGTATGTAGCCTCCTTACTGTTATTTTATTTTACTTCTGCTATTTTTTTCTCAACACTTTTTTTATGTTTTATTTTACTTTTTTATTAAGAAATAGATGCATTGTTGGTTAAGGGCTGTAAGTAAGCATTTCACGGTAATGTCTACACCTGCTGTATTCGGCGCATGTGGCAATTAAAATTTGATTTGATAGTCGCGGGAAGTAGGGATTCTGAGGGTGCTGCAGCACCCCCTGAAAAATACCCCCCCCCCCCCCCCCCCCCCTAAAAAAAAAAAAAGAAAACTAATTCACAAAAGTAGTGCACTGGGCCTTTACTTGTATTAGCGGACCGATATAGACTTCAACTTTTTTTCAGCATCTCCGCTTTGACAAGAAAGGTAGTTGTCGAATCAAGAACATTATCTTGCAGGATTCAATAGTTGGAATTGTAAGAGTTGTTTCCCTGTCCCTTTCTCTGCAATTGTCATTCTAAAGGAATCCAGAAAGAACAAATCCCTGTCCTCATATTTACATCAAAAGGTGCAAAGTTATGGGCAAAGACAAAACATCCATATTAAATTTGATATTTTTCATGATCAAATAACATGGAAAACATTTTCATCTCCCGAGTGGCGCAGTGGTCTAAGGCACTGCATCGCATCGCAGTGCTAACTGTGCCACTAGAGATCCTGGTTCGAATCCAGGCTCTGTCGTAGCCGGCCGCGACCGGGAGACCCATGGGGCGGCGCGCAATTGGCCCAGCGTCGTCCAGGGTAGGGGAGGGAATGGCCGGCAGGGATGTAGCTCAGTTGATAGAGCATGGCGTTTGCAACGCCAGGGTTGTGGGTTTGATTCCCACAGGGGGTATGAAAAAAATAAATACAATTATGCACTAACTGTAAGTCGCTCTGGATAAGAGCATCTGCTAAATGACTAAAATGTAAATGTAAATGAAAACAACCACATTCTGCAGTATTAATTTACCATCCTTACAAACCACTTAATGTCAATGTACATTACTGTATTGTACATAGGCTGGTTATCTAGGTTTGTACCTGTAGACTTTCCTTCACCATGAAGAAAAATAATGCACAATACAGTAATTGAGTACATTGAGACGTCAAGAGGTTGGTGATGAGGCGCAGTTTGTAGAGCATGGCGCTTGCAATGCTAGGGTTGTGGGTTCGATTCCCACGGGGGTCCAGTAAGAAAAAGTATGCACTCACTACTGTAAATTTCTCTGGATAAGAGCATCACCTAAAATGGAAAAGGAATGAATAGACCATTTCAGTGTTCACATTGTTACGTTCCACAGCAAGAAAACCAAAAATGTCGCTCAAACAGAAGGGGGAACTAACAAAGAGTCACTGACCAACAACCAAAACGAAACAGGTGGGGTTTAAGGAGGGGTTCTGAAAGACACACTCATGGGGGTGACCACTGAAAGTTAACTAACAACAACTGGAACCTAAAAGACACCCACCATGTGCACCCACTAAATTTGCAGAAGAAGAGGTAAACAAAATAAAAACCTACACCAAACTTAAAGACGGGAAGCAACCCAAAAAGGTGATCAGGGAAATCATATAAAGGATTGTTTGTCTAGAAATCAGAATAGGGAGCACCAACTAAAGGTGTTAACCCTCTACATCATGGTTGCCCAACCCTGTTCCTGGAGCGCTACCCTCGTGTAGGTTTTCGCTCCAACCCTAGATGGGGCCTCCTGTTGCTCAGTTGGTAGAGCATGGCGCTTGCAACGCCAGGGTTGTGGGTTTGTTTCCCACGGGGGGCCAGTATGAAAAATGTATGCACTCACTAACTGTAAGTCGCTCTGGATAAGAGCGTCTGCTAAATGACTAAAAATGTAAAATGTAAAAAAAAATGTACTAACCTGATTCATCTTATCAACCTGCTAATTATTAGAATCAGGTGTGCTAGATTAGGCTTGGAGCAAAAACCTACAGGGCGGTAGCTCTCCAGGAACAGGGTTGGGCAGTCGTGCTCTACATCTATCAAGAAAGCACAGGTGAAAGACCTTCCCACTAACGAGATGGCAACCAGCACAGGTGTAACACATATTGACTAAGGAGGTGACACCAATCGGTGTGCCGTACGTGCTAATGAGCTATATGTGCTAAAGTCTAACATCAAAACATAAATGGAAAAACCAAAACCTGTAATAATATAGAAATAAGTTGTATTTGCAAAGTATTTCAAGAAACTGGAAAACAAAGTATGTTTGTTCTGACTTCTGCAGAGGCCGCCTCGCAGTAAATGCTGTATGGCCACAGCAGACGTTGGATTGACCATGTAAAGCCTTTAAGTCGCTTTGGATAAAAGCGTCTCCTAAATGCCATATATTATTCTTATTAAATTAATTAAATAGAGTAGGCTATATAGCCTATGCATGGGCGGAGAAGCACTGGGCAGTTATCTTTCCAAGGAAATGTACTTCATACATATGATTAGGCTATAGTTTACTACATTGCCTAGACAAATATTGATCACCCATATTGTCTCCGTCTGAAAATCGTCCCACTCTTAAAAGGTAGGCTGTAAAACGTAGCTCAAGAGAATATGCAAGTCTCTCCAACTCTGCTCACTTAAAACTACGTCTAGCCTATTGGGCTGATATGTCCTAGTAATACCGATAGTCTAATATAATGGTCCACGTGAGAATCAGTGCTAATTTATCTATTTCTTAGGTTATTTTTGCGCATTTTGATATTGCCTATAGGGCGCAAAATTGCTGCGACCATGGCTGGCAAGTGAGCTGCATCACATACGCCTAAATTAACATTTCGGGACTGCGTTTGGGTTCGGGACCAATTCTTGCTGTAGCGGGTGGGAGTCAGACAGAAAGCCGGCGGGTGTGGTATGAAAAGCTGCGAGAGCGGGATAAATAAATCAGTCCCGCACAGACCTATAATGCACCGATCACAGTTGTATTTTTCTGTGCCATGTAATTAACATTATCACAGGCTGCGAGAACTCAAATAAGCATTTGAGAAGTTGTAAGTGAGATAGCTGTTCTCTGCTCCATTGTATCTCTCTCACAACACACACACACACACACACACACACACAGTCTGTAGCCAACAACTCAAAAGTCAATATTACGTCCATCTTTTCACTAATGACTGTCATCTCTGTGTCACAAATCACAGCTATCTGAGTCACCCCTGCAATGTGGAGAGGGCGGGAGTGGTGGGAGGGGGAAAAAAGGCGGACTGAGGTAGAGGGCTGAAGATGAGGAAGAGATGGATGAGAGGCGACAGAGGCATGAGGGGAGTGCGGGGGTAGGCAGACGGAGAGAGATGGAGGGCGGAAGGGATGCAAAGAGGAATAGAGAAATGGAGAGTGAGTGGTGAGGAGAGGAGTGCTAGTGGCTGTGTTTGATGAGTCACCGTGCCAAGTGAGGTCAGATCAGTGAGCACACACACTGTTCTAGGAAAGGTGACGTGTTTGTGTGTGTGCTGACGTGTGTCCCTACCAGTGTATATCTGTGTGTTTCTGTCAGAGTGTAGCGCTGGTTTGTGTGTGTGTTTGCGTGTCAGTGTGTGCACAGCTGGTCCCACCTGGGAACAACATGTGACCCTCTGAAGTAGATGAGTGCTGCTGGGTAAATCGGCGTCTGTGCGTTTGTCACGATCTCTCCCCCTTTCTCTCTTGTTCTCTCTCTCCTTCTGTCTCACTCCCCCCACACACACATCAGTGAAGATGACACTCAAATGGCCTGCAACAATTTCAAAGATGTTACTGAGTTAAAGTTCATATAAGGAAATCAGTCAATTGAAATAAATTAATTAGGCCCTAATTTATGGATTTCACAAGACTGGGAATACATAAATGCATCGTTTGGTCACAGATACCTTTAAAAAAAGGTAGGGGTGTGGATCAGAAAAACAGTCAATATCGGGTGTGACCACCATTTGCCTCATGCAGCGTGACACATCTCCTTCGCATAGAGTTGATCAGACTGTTGATTGTGGCCTGTGAAATATTGTCCCACTCCTCTTCAATGGCTGTGCGAAGTTGTTGGATATTGACAGGAACTGGATCACGCTGTCATACACATCGATCCAGAGCATCCCAAACATGCTCAATGGTCAACATGTCTGGTGAGTATGCAGGCCATGGAAGAGCTGGGACCTTTCTCAGCTTCCAGGAATTGTGTACAGATCATGGGGCCGTGCATTATCATGCTTATGGTAGAGAAATGAACGTTCAATTCTCTGGCAAACGCTCTGGTGGACATTCCTGCAGTCAGCATGCCAATTGCACGCTCCCTCAAAACTTTAGACATCTGTGGCATTGTGTTGTGTGACAAAACTGCACATTTTAGAGTGGCCTTTTATTGTCCCCAGCACATGGTGCACCTGTGTAATGACCATGCTGTTTAATCAGCTTCTTGATATGCCACACCTGTCTGGTGAATGGATTATCTTGGCAAAGGATAAATGGTCACTAAATTTGTGCACAACGTTTGAGAGAAATAAGCTTTTTGTGCATATGGAACCTTTCTGGGATCTTTTATTTCAGCTCATGAAACATGGGACCAACACTTTACATGTTGCGTTTACATTTTTGTTCAGTGTAATAACAATAATGTTAATAAAGTGATAGTTCATTTGATGTATAGCAAACATCCAAATACAGAGGAGCCTTAAAGGTACTTAACAGGCAAACGTTTTTATTTGTCATGACTGGTGGGTGACTGGTTGTCCTGCTATTCTTATGCATTATTGACATGGCTAATTTCACCTGCCTTGTACATTTCCATTGATATCAGTTACATGCATATTCATTATTAATTGATCTCATTAATCTGGTTGTTGATTAGAGTTAATGATGATGTCTAACTGCACACTGACTGACCAGCATTCAAATCAGTACTAATTATCAGCAATCACCTGCTCCATTCAAACACCACAGCTCTGTCAGTGTCCATGCTGTTGCTGTTACCTAGCCAGGGTTAACCCTGCTTCTGTGTTCACTAGTGACACCTACTGGACAGACAGGATAACTGTTGGTTACACTCTACTTGAGTCCATAGCTGTAAGGGCTTCATAACACTGGCTTATTCATCACATAACCATCATGACAGCTGTTATCACACACACTATGATAACTGACTTTACACTGTTTTACAACTAACTGACACAAACTATGTTTGACAGTTTTTGATAGTTTTCAGCAATTTTACATGTGGATTGCAGTCACTCCTTGTCCATAAACTGCATTCAAGGAAACACATATCTAAATATGTAAAACTATATATTTATTATTTTCATACTAAAGCACATCTATCACTTTAAAAATATGCCTAGTGTGTGTATTAGAGGAATGTGTGTGTGTGTTCTAATTGAGTGAGTTGCTGTTGTGTGTGTTGTCACTCAGCTAATAAGATAATAATCTGTTAATAAGATGCTTAGTGTGTGTGCGTTTGTGTGTGTATTCTTACTAATAAAGTGATTGTGTGTGTGGTTGTCATTCCAGACTTCCTCTGTTCCAGGCCAGTGCGTTTGCCTTCCTGGCTCCCGCCAGAGCAATCCTGTCACTAGACAAGTGGAAGTGCAACGCTACAGGTAAACACAAACACACGTATACACACACACACATACACACACTGAGTACACACACCCCACGAGTGCCTTCATTATGACCTGGTCTCACCCTCACTTTCCTGCCCACGTGAGCTGGCATCAGTAGTGCTGACTGGCACCTCAGTTGGCATCAGATGAGGTTTTCAGGTTGCCATCAGATTAGATTTCCAGGTTCGGTGCCAGTGTGTTAATCTATAACATCAGTGTCCTGGAAAAACCTTGTATCTCACTTTTTGTAGATTTTGATTTTATTAAACATAAATCGATATTAGTCATGCCCCTCCATGTTCTATGAACCTTTCATTACTCTAGAATTGGAACTAATAAAAAGTCATCCAAAATGCCTTGTAAACTAGCCTGGCTGACGTGTCCCACGTGACTAGTGAAGAGCTGTTTGAGAGCTGATGTCAGCCAGAGTACTTGTGAACCTCCATGGCGATAGATCAGAAAATAAACCGTGACTTTTAACTTTTTTGAGATACACGTTTTTTCCAGGACGCAGACGATAACAGAATGATAAATGTGTTTTATCATTCTTCTCTGTTCTTTTTGTTTCTCTTTTTCTTCTCTCTTATTTTCTCCGTCCCTCTGTCAGTGGTTCCTCCCATGTTCAACGAGACTGAGCTGCTCAACACTGAACACATCTGGCATCCTCGGATACGAGAGGTGAGAGCGAGGGGAAATTAAATGCAAGATGGAAGGAGATGACATAGAAGGAGAGAGCAGGAGACATATTTTAAAGTATCCAATCCTTTACATTGCATAGTGTACAGAGAGAGGTCTACTCCTGTGTTCTGTGTCAGTGTTGTTCAAAGCCCATGTTAGCCAGTCAGCACATCCCAGTCACAGTGAGACCCTCTGGGCCTACACTAAAACAAAGAGTACAAAGAGTTCTAATTGATTATGTTTCTTTAGGCCTGTTGCTGTGACTCAGCCTTTAGCCGTGTGTGTTGCGTGTGTGATTGCGTGTATGCACACATCGTATGTGTGCATGTGCACTGAGAGTGTGACGGAGGCCTTTAACTCACATTAACCTTTTATAAGGCTTGTGTAAGTGGGTTTGGTAACCCTGTTTTGATGCGTGTGTGAGGCGGTAACTCAATCACGATGTCACAATGAATAGAATTAGAGACAAGGACGTCGATAGACTATCAAGGCTGTACCAATGTCTGTCTCTTTACCCTCCACCAGATCCAGGGGGCTATCATTGTGTCGTCTCTGATAGAGGTGTGTATCGGCTTCCTGGGGCTCCCAGGGCTCCTTTTGAAATACATCGGGCCCCTGACCATCACCCCGACTGTGGCCCTCATCGGCCTGTCTGGCTTCCAGGCTGCAGGGGAGAGAGCAGGGAAACACTGGGGCATCGCCATGCTGTGAGTAGTATACTGTGGCTCTAATCTCTCCTGACTGACTACTTGTATAGTCCCCTGTACAGTCCCCAGCCCTCTATATGTTTTCCTATAGTATCTGTTGTTGTCTTTGTCTTGTTATGATGCATGGCAAATTTAGGTGAAAACAGAAAGTAAAATGCTTTCATATCTTATCTATCTTTTGTTATCCTATAAGACTGACTCCCACCCCCCAGAGGCATCCTTAGCCAATCAATTATCGTAACAGCCCATTAAATAGCCAATCAGAATGAATTACCGGCAGACAGTCGCCCCTGCGGAATAGAGGTCAGGTAACCTTAGTGCTCCAGACAGAGACCTCTGGGCCTAGGTTCAAGAAGGGCTGTGTCTGTTGGTAATTGTTTGTGTCTGCTACATTGTTATTAATTTATTTATTTTATTGTCTCTTTCGGGAAAATGTGTCTTGCAACTCATCGCATAGCACAGCATCACAGATGTTATATGTAACTTATTTGAGTTATCAATTAATTGATTTCCTTGTTTCTTTTTTGAGAATTACACATTTTGATCCAGCTGTCTTTATAGGAGGGTTATTGGTTCTCTTGACAAATGTTTAACTGTTCTACAAATCAAAGCAGATAGTGGATGTTTCCAAGTGTGATTACTGCTTTTCCTTCACCCCTGACTTCTGTATTTCTTACTCGTCATCTTGCTCTCGTTCTCTCTCTCTCTCAATTTAAGGGCTTTATTGGTATGGGAAACATATGTTTACATTGCCAAAGCAAGTGAAATAGATAATAAACAAAAGTGAAATAAACAGTAAAAAATGAACAGTAAACATTACACTCACAAAAGTTCAAAAAGAATAAAGAAATGTCAAATGTCATATTATGTCTATATACAGTGTTGTAACGATGTGCAAATACTTAAAGTAAAAATAAATAAATAAACATAAATATGGGTTGTATTTACAATGGTGTTTGTTCTTCACTGGTTGCCCTTTTCTTGTGGCAGCAGGTCACAAATCTTGCTGCTGTGATTGCACACTATGGTATTTCACCCAATAGATATGTTTTAAATTATTTGTGGGTCTGTGTAATCTGAGGGAAATATGTGTCTCTAATATAGTCATACATTTGGCAGGAGGCTAGGAAGTGCAGCTCAGTTTCCACCTCATTTTGTGGGCAGTGTGCACATAGCCTGTCTTCTCTTGAGAGCCAGGTCTGCCTACAGCGACCTTTCTCAATAGCAAGGCTATGCTCACTGAGTCTGTACATAGGCAAAGCTTTCCTTAATTTTGGGTCAGTCACAGTGGTCAGGTATTCTGCCACTGTGTACTCTCTGTTTAGGGCCAAATAGCATTCTAGTTTGCTCAGTTTTTTTGTTAATTCTTTCCAATGTGTCAAGTAATTATCTTTTTGTTTTCTCATGATTTTTTGGGTTTAATTGTGTTGCTGTCCTGGGGTTCTGTGGGGTCTGTTTGTGAACAGAGCCCCAGGACAAGCTTGCTTAGGGGACTCTTCTCCAGGTTCATCTCTCTGTAGATGATGGCTTTGTTATGGAAGGTTTGGGAATCGCTTCCTTTTAGGTGGTTGTAGAATTTAACGGCTCTTTTCTGGATTTTAATAATTAGCGGGTATCGGCCTAATTCTGCTCTGCATGCATTATTTGGTGTTTTACTTTGTACACTGAGGATATTTTTGCAGAATTCTGTATGCAGAGTCTCAATTCTGTGTTTGTCCCATTTTGTGAATTATTGGTTGGTGAGCGGACCCCAGACCTCACAACCATAAAGGGCAATGGGTTCTATAACTGATTCAAGTATTTTTAGCCAGATCCTAATTGGTATGTCTAATTTTATGTTCCTTTTGATGGCATAGAAGGCCCTTCTTGCCTTGTCTCTCAGATCGTTCACAGCTTTGTGGAAGTTACCTGTGGCGCTGATGTTTAGGCCGAGGTATGTATAGTTTTTTGTGTGCTCTAGGGCAACGGTGTCTAGATGGAATATGTGTTTGTGGTCCTGGGAACTGGAACACTATTATTTTTGTCTTACTAAGATTTACTGTCAGGGCCCAGGTCTGACAGAATCTGTGCAGAATATCTAGGTGCAGCTGTAGGCCCTCCTTGGTTGGGGACAGAAGTACCAGATCATCAGAAAACAGTAGACATTTGACTTCAGATTCTAGTAGGGTGAGGTCGGGTGCTGCAGACTGTTCTAGTGCCCTCGCCAATTTGTTTATATATATGTTGAAGAGGGTGGGGCTTAAGCTGCATCCCTGTCTCATCCCACGGCCCTGTGGAAAGAACTGTGTGTTTTTTTTTTGGCAATTTAAACCGCACACTTGTTGTTTGTGTACATGGATTTTATAATGTCGTATGTTTTTCCCCCAACACCACTTTCCATCAATTTGTATAGCAGACCCTCATGCCAAATTGAGTCAAGAGCTTTTTTGAAATCAACAAAGCATCAGAAGACTTTGCCTTTGTTTTGGTTTGTTTGTTTGTCAATTAGGGTGTGCAGGGTGAATACGTGGTCTGTCGTATGGTAATTTGTTAAAAAGCCAATTTGATATTTGCTCAGTACATTGTTTTTACTGAGGAAATGTACAAGTCTGCTGTTAATGATAATGCAGAGGATTTTCCCAAGGTTGCTGTTGACGCATATCCCACGGTAGTTATTGGGGTCAAATATGTCTTCTCTCTCTCTCTCTAGGACTATATTCCTGGTGTTGTTGTTCTCACAGTATGCGAGGAACGTACAGCTTCCTCTGCCCATCTACAAGGCTAAGAAAGGTTGGACCTCTTATAGATTACAGCTCTTCAAGATGTTCCCTGTGAGTACCCTCACACGTGCACACACACACACACACACACAGAGATGTGCACGCACAGAGAAATACACTGGCAGGAGTACACACACATACACTCCTAGATACACATTCCCTCTCCTGGAGTGTGTTTATTGATCCAATCCGTCACAGTGCCAAGTGAGGTCAGATAAATGGGCACACACTCCTCTATCTCTCTCCATCTTTTAGATACCTCTTTCCATCCTCCCATTACCTGTCGAATCCTACTGTTCAAATCTTATTCACCTCCCCTGTCTCCTCCTCCCCCGTTCCTCTTAATAAGATCTGAAATTATTCAGCCCCCTATGGGGCCCTTTCTCTCTCTTTTTCCCTGTTCTGCACTGTATATACATCTCCCGTGTGTCTGTCTGCCTGTAGCTGTATCGGAAATGTGTCTAGCCTACTACTTACTAAAACTGCATACTGTGTACTAATCGTACTACATACTATTGAGAACGTACTGTTTGGTAAAAACGTATGCAGTAAGTAAGCAACAATCGTGCTTTTTCCCTACCATTCGTAACTTTCTGTTAGTATGCAAGTATGAGTATTCGGACACGGCCTGTGTGTTGTAGCCCGCCTGTACCCTACATTCTATTGGCAAATGTGCAATCACTGGAGAATAAGCTGGAGGAGCTCCGTTCGAGACTATTCCATCAACGGGACATTAAGAACTGTAATATACTATGCTTCTCAGAGTCATGGCTGAACAAGGACATGGATAATATACAGTTAACAGGGTTTTCTGTGCATCGGCAAGACAGAACGGTAGCGTCCAGTAAGCTCCGGGGGGAGGGGTGTCTCTTTGTTAACAACAGCTGGTGTGCAATCTCTTATATTAAGGAAGTCTCTAGGTTCTGCTCGTTTGTGTTAGAATACCTCATGATAAGCTGTAGACCAAACTATTTACCAAGAGTTTTAATCTGTAGTTGTTTATTTACCACCACAAACTGATGTTGGCACTAAGACCGCACTCAACGAGCTGTATAGGGCCATAAGCAAAGAAGAAAATACTCATCAAGAGGTGGCGCTCCTAGTGGCCGGTGATTTTAATGCAGGAAAACTCTAATCCGTTTTACCTAATTTCTACCAGCATGTCACCTGTGCAACTAGAAGGAAAACAATTCTAGATCAGCTTTACTCCACACACAGAGGCACATACAAAGCTCTCCCTCTCTCTCCATTTGGCAAATCTGACCATAACTCTATCCTCCTGATTCCTGCTTACAAGCAGAAACTCAAACAGGAGGAATCAGTGACTCACTCAATACGGAAGTAGTCTGATGAAGCGTTTGCTAAGCTACAGGACATTAGCTAGCAAAGACTGGAATATGTTCCAGGAGTTTACCACATCAGTCACTGGTTTCATAAATAAGTGCATTGATGACATTGTCCCAACAGTGACCATACGTACGTACATATCCCAACCAGAAGCCATCGATTACAGGCAACATCCGCACTGAGCTAAAGGCTAGAGTTGACACTTTCAAGGAGTGGGACACTAATCCGGACGCTTATAAGAAATCCCACTACGCCCTCCGACAAACCATCAAACAGACAAAGCGTCTATAAAGGACTAAGATCAAATCCTACTGTACCGGCTCTGACGCTCGTCGGATGAGGCAAGGCTTGTAAACTATGATGGATTTCAAATGGAAACCCAGCCACGAGCAGCCCAGTGATGCGAGCCTAACAGACTAACTAAATACTTATATGCTCGCTTTGAGGCAAGCAAAACTGAACAGTGCATAAGAACACCAGCTGTTCCGGATGACTGTGTGATCACGCTCTCCGTAGCCAATGTGAGTGAGCCCTTTAAACAGGTTAACATTCAGGCCGCAGGTCCAGACGGATTATCAGGACACTTACTCAGAGCATGTGCTGACCAGCTGGCAAGTGTCTTCACTGACATTTTCAACCTCTCCCTTTTCAAGCAGATCCTGTGCCCAAGAACACCAAGGTGACCTATCTAAATGACTACCCTCCCGTAGCACTCACATCTTTAGCCCTGAAATGCTTTGAAAGCCTGGTCATGGTTCACATCAACACCATCATTCCAGATACCCTGGACCCACTCCAATTCGCGTACCGCCCCAACAGATCCACAGATGCCGCCATCTCTTTCCCACCTAGACAAAAGGAACACCTACGTGAGAATGCTGTTCATTGACTACAGCTAAGCATTCAACACCATAGTGCCCTCCAAGCTCATCACTAAGCTAAGGACCCTGGGACTGAACACTTCCCTCTGCAACTGGATCCTGGACTTCCTGACGGGCGCCCCAAGGTGGTGAGAGTAGGCAACAACTCATCCGCCAAGCTGACCATCAACACGCAGGTCCTTCAGGGGTGCGTGAAAGTCCCATCCTGTACTCCCTGTTCACCCATGACTGCGTGGCCACGCAAGATTCCAACACCATCATTAAGTTTGCCGCCGACCACGTCAGTGGTAGGCCTGATCACCGACGACGATGAGACAGCCTATAGGGAGGAGGTCAGAGACCTGGCAGTTTGGTGTCAGGACCACAACCTCTCCCTCAACGTGACCAAAACAAAGGAGCTGATCGTGGACTACAGGAAACGGCGGGCCGAGCACGCCCCCATCCCCATCTACGGGGCTATAGTGGAGCAGGTCGAGAGCTTCAAGTTCCTCGGTGTCCACATCACTAAGGAGCTATCATGGTCCAAACACCAACACAGTCGTGAAGAGGGCACGACAACACCTCTCCCCCTCAGGAGCCTGAAAAGATTTGGCATGGGCCCTCAGATCCTCAAAAAGTTCCACAGCTGCACCATTGAGAGCATCTTAACTGGCTGCATCACCGCTTGGTATGGCAACTGCTTGGCATCCGACCGCAAGGCGATACAGAGAGTAGTGCGTACGGCCCAGTACATCACTGGGGCAGAGATCCCTGCCATCCAGGACCTCTATACCAGGCAGTGTCAGAGGAAGGCCCTAAAAATTGTCAAAGAATGTTCTTGTCTTGTCAAAGACTGCAAGCGGTACCAGAGTACCAAGTCTGGGACCAAAAGGCTCCTGAACAGCTTCTACCCCCAAGCCATAAGACTGCTAAATAGTTAGTTAAATTCTTAGTCCAGGTAGCAATTTGGTTATCTGCGTTGACCCTTTTTGCAATTACTTTTTTGACTCATCACATACGCTGCTGCTACTGTTTACTATCTGTCACTTTATTCCTAGTTATATGTACAAATCTACCTCAACTACCTTGTATGCCTGCACATCGACTCGGTACTGGTACCCTGTGTGAATGTATGTGTGTATGTATGTATATATATATATATATATATATATATATATATATATATATATATATATATATATATATATACGTTATCGTTACTCATTGTATTTATTATTACTTTTATTATTACGTGTTTTACTTTTCTATTATTTCTCTATTTTCTTTCTCTCTGCATTGTTGGGAAGGCCTGTTAGTAAGCGTTTCACTGTTAGTCTACACCTGTTGTTTACGAAGCATGTGACAAATAACATTTGATTTGATAGCTGCTCTGGTCATTTGATGTCATGATAGCTCATATATCTGCTGCTCTAATAGACAGACACTTGCTTGTATTGGTGACTACACTCAAATAAAGCCCTCTTCATCACCATCACTCTCTCTATCTGATTAAAGGTTCCACTCTTAATTATTATTATTTTTGTATTATTAAATTTTTTACTTCTACCCCTTTTTCTCCCCAATTTCGTGATATCCAATTGGCTGTTAGTCTTGTCTCATTGCTGCAACTCCCCTACGGACACGGGAGAGGTGAAGGTCGAGAGCCATGCGTCCTCCGAAACACGTCCCTGCTAAGCCGCACTGCTTCTTGACACACTGCTCACTTAACCCGGAAGCCAGCCGCACCAATATGTCGGCGGAAACGGCGTCCATCTGGCAACCGAAGTCAGCTTGCAGGCGCCCGGCCCGCCACAAGGAGTCGCTAGAGCGCAATGGGACAAGGAAATCCCGGCCGGCCAAACCCTCCCCTAACCCAGACGACGCTGGGCCAATTGTGCGCCGCCTCATTGGTCTCCCGGTCATGGCCGGCTATGACACAACCTGGGATCGAACTCGGGTCTGTAGTGATGCCTCAAGCACTGCGATGCAGTGCCTTAGACCGCTGCGCCACTTGGGAGGCCGGTTCCACTCTTTATTAATCTGCCCTTTACTGTTTGAACTGGTGACCTCACAACTCCCATATTGAAAAAAAAAATAATCGCTCTCCCTGTCTGTTTAAAGGGCATTCTATAGACGTTCTGCAGTTCATTATGGTGCTCTTCACTGTAACTCACCAGGACATACTGTATTTCTGTGTGTTTTGAGGTTCATGTTTGACCCTTAGTGTTTCCCTCTCCCTCAGATCATCATGGCCATCCTGGTGTCATGGCTGATTTGTTTTATCTTCACCATAACCAATGTTTTCCCGCCGGAGAAAGACAAGTACGGTTACTACGCCCGAACCGACGCACGCCAGGGGATACTGGCAGCCGCACCCTGGTTCAAGATCCCATACCCCTGTGAGTTACCACTCCTTATGTTGTTCAACCCGCCCCTAGCTATGCCCAAACTCTGAATCAGAGCATCCAATAGCTTCGTAGCTTTCTCAAATCTAGAATGTTGTGGGTTTTTTTGTTCCATATCAGTGTGTTGATGTTGAGTTTGTGTTTTTTACCCATAGTTCAGTGGGGTGTTCCTACGGTGACAGCGGCGGGGGTGATCGGAATGTTCAGTGCCGTGGTCGCCAGCATCATTGAGTCCATTGGAGACTACTACGCCTGTGCCCGCCTCTCCTGTGCCCCCCCACCCCCCATTCATGCCATCAACAGGTACTTGACCTTGCTTGCATAGCTCCTTGCCTAATTCACCTCATAGAATCTGCTTACATCACACAAACACAATGGTTTGAATCATGACTTGAGATCCGTCTCTCTCTCTCCCTCTTCCTTTCTGTTTTTTTCTCTCTCTGTAGGGGTATATTTATGGAAGGTCTGTCCTGCGTGTTGGATGGGCTGATGGGGACAGGAAACGGCTCTACTTCCTCCAGTCCTAATATAGGCGTGCTGGGCATCACTAAGGTAACCATCACACACTTCAACACACAGTCAGAGTCCCACTACAAGTTCTGTTCAAATATTAAATATTAATGTTTTAATTGGCTAGTAGTCTGCTTGGATTTAATTTGCTCTGTAGAGTGGGACTATTTTATTCTTCCTGATGTCCTTGATTCACTTTCTTACACCCTGCTGCTCTCTGATTGGTCCTCCAGGTGGGCAGCCGGCGTGTGATCCAGTACGGTGCTGCTATGATGCTGCTGCTAGGGCTGGTGGGTAAATTCAGCGCATTGTTTGCCTCCCTGCCTGACCCTGTCCTGGGGGCGTTGTTCTGTACCCTGTTTGGGATGATTACGGCTGTGGGACTGTCCAACCTGCAGTTTGTAGACCTCAACTCCTCCAGGAACCTCTTTGTTCTGGGCTTCTCCATCTTCTTTGGCCTGGTACTGCCCAGCTACCTCAAACAGAACCCTCTGGTCACAGGTGAGTAGAGGACAAGTGCACTACAGAATTAGCTCATTGGCCTACTCCTTCAGTGTTCACACATCTAAAAGGACTGGGTAGGTCTCTGAACTCTCTCTCGCTCTCGCTCTCGCTCTCTCTATCCCTCTTTCTGTCTCTCAGGTATAGTGTCGATAGACCAGGTGTTGAACGTGCTCCTGACCACAGCCATGTTCGTAGGGGGGTCAGTGGCATTTGTGCTGGACAACACTATCCCTGGTGAGTGGACTGAACTATCACACTATCACTGTTTGTTATTACACTATCCCTGGTGAGTAGACTGTACTATCCCACTATCACTGTTAGACTAAACTATCACACTACTACTATTAATCTACCATTGTACTCAACCCTTTTGAGTGCATTTTGAGATAGGACAAGCATATCACAAACTGTTGCCTTCTCCAATCGCTCACCCCCTCATCCTCTGTCTTCCTCTTTTCTCTCTCTTTCCTTTCCTCCTGTCAGGTACCCTGGAGGAGCGAGGGATCAGGAAGTTGAAGCGTGGGTCGGGACCCAGTACTGCGGAGCTGGAGGGGATGAGAACCTACGACCTCCCGTTCGGCATGGACTTCCTGCGCCGCCACACCGTCTTCCAGTACTTCCCCATCAGCCCCACCTTCAGCGGCTACCAATGGGGCGCGATCATCAAGGCCTGCAGACGTAGGGGGGGACGGGGGGAGGCAGGGAAGGCAGCAGAGATGGAGGGAATCGCAGAACCAGGGGAGAGCGGGGTATAGCAGATGGGTAGAACCAGGCTGGAGGGGAGAGAGGATGGAGTTTGGAACCATGGAAGGGAGGAGGGGTGGAGGTTTTTGGGTAGCGTCAGTGCAGTGTGACATGCTCAACCCTGTCTTGTATGTCTGTGTGTGTGTCTGTATAACTCACTGTCTATGCCCTATTCATGCTGTTATTAGCATGTTATAACAGGTGTCATAAGCGTGTAATAACAGATGTCCTTATAGAGGAGGGTTCAGATGGAGTTGCAACACGCTCTCTGGCTCTTGTCTCTGCCTAGTATGTGTGCATAAGAGTGTCTTAGACAGCCCATTATTGAGGTCCCCCTCTTCCCCCATTTCTACTGGGTCTTCAGTTAAAACACTTATTTTCTCAGTCAACCTGTCTACATCAGTCAATCTGTCTACATTCATTCCAAGAGGAATGGTAAGAAAAGGTTTGTTCTCTGCTGTTGAACCAAAATACTCAGATGTATTACACTCCCAGTGGCCTCCGTGTGCGTGTGTGTATGTATGCCCACCCATGATATTGTGATGGGGTAGGGTGTGTCATTTGCGCTGGCACATTTCCTGTTTAAGAACAGATGGACAGAGACAGACAAATGGATGGACAGTATCTCATTTACAGCAAAAGTTTAAAGCTGAATGATTGACACCTTACAGGCCCAATGAGAATCAGACACAGCTAGTCAGTCAGCCCTGTTTAGCAAACCTACATTGCCCAAGGTGGTTATGGGAAATGTAGTCTCCTGTTGAAAGGGGACTGGATGGAAGCTGGAGAGGCTTTATGCAAATTCACATTAGACTAATAATTTGCCTGCACACTCAATTTACACACACACACACACACACACACACACACACATAAGCACACTACCAAACACAAGCTTAATTGCATGCAGACAGGCAAGGGCAGATAATGTAGATGCAAGTGGCTTGTCAAGTGGTAGACCTTAGCAAAGCAAAGTGATTGTGATGTTAGTTTTGCACTATTAGTCGCAAGAGTTAATGCACAGAATGTTCGCTGAAACCTGCCCCTCTATTTGGCTTCTATTACCCACATAACACAGCCACACGTCAAACACACAATTAGGGCTGTTATGGTGACCGTATTACCGCCACACCGGCAGTCACGAGTCATGGCCGCAGTCAAATTCCACGTGATCGTTGAGTCATGGTAACTAAGCTTCTCCAAAGCTGTGCTCTGATGCCACTGATGGTTATTAATAGCCTACCAAATTTGCTAACAGTCACTAATGGCCTGGGACTCAGTGCTCTATTGTCCCTCTAATCACTCTGACATCAATGCAAATGCAATCGAAAATCAAATCAAACACTTCATGAGAGCCCTGGAATTCAGAGTTTGAGCGGAATAGGATCACCTTTTGAGCAGCTAGAGCCAGCTCCTCATAGCTCAACCTGGACTCAAGGGTAGACGTAACATAGTACATGTAAATCCGGGACACTCCATTTAGTATGACATGTTACGTTTCATATGGTATGTATTCATTTGCTGTTATAACCATACCAAACATAAGATATCATACTAATTTGAGTGTCCCGGATATACGTTTACTACACAACATGACAAAAAGTATGTGGAGGCCAGCTCGTCAAACATCTCATTCCAAAATCATGGGCATTAATATGGAGTTGGTCCCCCCTTTGCTGCTGTAACAGCCTCCACTCTTCTGGGAAGGCTTTCCAATAGATGTTGGAACATTGCTGCGGGGACTTGCTTCCATTCATCCACAAGAGCATTAGTGAGGTCGGGCACTGATGTTGGGCGATTAGGCCTGGCTCGCAGTCGGCGTTCCAATTCATCCCAAAGGTGTTCGATGGGGTTGAGGTCAGGGCTCTGTGCAGGCCAGTCAAGTTCTTCCACACCGATCTCGACATTTCTGTATGGACCTGGCTTTGTGCACGGGGGCATTGTCATGCTGAAACAGGAAAGGGCCTTTCCCAAACTTTTGCCACAAAGTTGGAAGCACAGAATCGTCTAGAATGTCATTGTATGCTGTAGCGTTAAGATTTCCCTTCACTGGAACTAAGGGGCCTAGCCCGAACCATGAAAATAGCCCCAGACCATTATTCCTCTTCCACCAAACTTTACAGTCGGCACTATGCATTCAGGCAGGTAGCATTCTCCTGGCATCCGCCAAACCCAGATTCGTCCGTCGGACTGCCAGATGGTGAATCGTGATTCATCACTCCAGAGAACGCGTTTCCACTGCGCCAGAGTCCAATGGCGGCGAGCTTTACACCACTCCAACTGATGCTTGGCATTGCGCATGATAATCTTAGGCTTGTGTGCAGCTGCTCGGCCATGGAAACCTATTTCATGAAGCTCCCGATGAACAGTTATTGTGCTGACGTTGCTTCCAGAGGCAGTTTGGAACTCGGTAGTGAATGTTGCAACCAAGGACAGACGATTTTTACGTTCTACGCGCTTCAGCACTCGGCAGTCCTGTTCTGTGAGCTTGTGTGGCCTACCACTTCAGGGCTGAGCCATTGTTGCTCCTAGACGTTTCCACTTCACAATAACAGCACTTACAGTTGACCGGGGCAGCTCTAATGGGGCAGAAATTTGACGGACTGACTTGTTGGAAGGGTATCATCCTATGACGGTGCCACGTTGAAAGTCACTGAGCTGTTCAGTAAGGCCATTCTACTGCCAATGTTTCAATGGCTGTGTGCTCGATTTTAGAAAATGGGTGTGGCTGAAATAGCCGAATCCACTAATTTTGAAGGGGTATCCACATACTTTTGTATATATAGTGTATGTTAAGTCTAGTCTATTACATTTACATTTACATTTTAGTCATTTAGCAGACGCTCTTATCCAGAGCGACTTACAGGAGCAATTAGGGTTAAGTGCCTTGCTCAAGGGCACATCGACAGATTTTTCACCTAGTCGACTTGGGGATTAGAACCAGCGACCTTTCGGTTACTGGCACAACGCTCTTAACCACTAAGCTACCTGCCGCCCAAAATATAGTCTATGAGACCAGGCTGCGTAGCTGGGGGTTTATTTTTGCCTGCGCTACAGACAGCTATATCAAAACTGCTCGCCAATACAAGACTAGGAAAAGACCCAGTGCACTACATTTTTTTTTTTTTTTTTTTTATATACAGTACCAGTCAAATGTTTGGACACACCTACTCATTCAAGGGTTTTTCTTTTTTTTACTATTTTCTACATTGTAGAATAATAGTGAAGACATCAAAACTATGAAATAACACATGGAATCATGTAGTAACCAAAAAAGTGTTAAACAAATCAAAATATATGTTATATTTGAGATTGTTCAAATAGCCATCCTTTGCCTTGATGACAGCTTTGCACAGTCTTGGCATTCTCTCAACCAGCTTCACCTGGAATGCTTTTCCAACAGTCTTGAAGGGGTTCCCACATATGCTGAGCACTTGTTGGCTACTTTTCCTTCACTCTGCCGTCCGACTCATCCCAAACCCCAGTCATTGCGCAATCGCGTGTGAAAGCAGAGTTTTGGCCAATATTTAAAGGATCCCAGCTTTCAAGCGCTGCTATATTTATTGCTCAATTCTTAAAATTAAGCACATTAATCCACTTTACAACCGGTGTAGCCTACCTGGCATATTAAAAAATGAAACCGCACGTAACCTCCTTTCGCTATTCGAGTGCAGGCTACAGATGACGATTTTTTTTTTTTGTGGGCCATTAAATCTAAAATAATTCCACACATTCTAAGGTTTGTATCACAACTACAGTTGCATAAATAACTCTAAATTAAGCATATAGGAGGACCTGTTTCAAATTATCACTTCGTTAACCGCTCAACACAGAATTGCCGCATGTGTGCACTCCCTCTGAAATCGTTTTGGGGAAATATCCTTTCTATTTTATTCAGCTTTGTTCAATTGTATTCTTCTTACTATGAAATAATATAAAATAATTCCACTAGAATTATAAGCAAATCTTGTCTGCTAAATGAACTAGTGTAGCCCACAGCCATATGGTATAGCCAGATCAGGGCCAAACATAAGGATGACTCAGAGTATGCTATTCTGTTCTTCTGAAATAGGCTACATCTTCATATCATAATGTTTCTTTAGACCTGCCTAAAATAAATAATGGATTTGTGAAAGTGTAGGCTATACTAAATAAATATATTAGACTTAAAATGTAGATGTTCCAAAGGTCCACATCAGTGGCTTGTAGGCTATGCGTGGAAGCCCGGAGATGCCAAACGGGTTTATGTTAATGAATGGTCATTTAATGTGAGACCAGCAGTTTATTTTAAGAATGTGAAATGTCAGAATAATAGTAGAGAGAGTGATTTATTTAAGCTTTTATTTATTTCATTATATTCCTAGTGGGTCAGAAGTTTGCATACACTCAATCAGTATTTGGTAGCATTGCCTTTAAATAGTGTAACTTGGGTCAAATGTTTCAGGTAGCCTTCCACAAGCTTCCCACAATAAGTTGGGTGAATTGTGGTCCATTCCTCCTGACAGAGCTGGTGTAACTGAGTCAGGTTTGTAGGCCTCTTTGCTCGCACACGCTTTTTCAGTTCTGCCCACAAATGTTCTATAGGATTGAGGTCAGGGCTTTGTGATGGCCACTCCAATACCTTTGTTGTCCTTAAGCCATTTTGCCACAACTTTGGAAGTATGCTTGCGGTCATCGTCCATTTGGAAGACCCATTTGCGACCAAGCTTTAGCTTCCTGACTGATGTCTTGAGATGTTGTTTCAATATATCCACATAATTTTCCTTCCTCATGATGCAATCTATTTTGTGAAGTGCACCAGTCCCTCCTGCAGCAAAGCACCCCCACAGCATGATGCTGCCACCCCCGTGCTTCATGGTTGGGATGGTGTTCTTCGGCTTGCAAGCAACCCCCTTTTACCTCCAAACATAACGATGGTCATTATGGCCAAACAGTTCTATTTTTGTTTCATCAGACCAGAGGACATTTCTCAAAAAAGTACAATCTTTGTCCCCATGTGCAGTTGCAAACC